GCCCTATACCTTTTTACTTTCATCTGTGTTAGTTTGAAAAGAAAATTAGTGTTATTGTAGATAAAAAGTATACAGCAGGGGCAGAATGACCATTCGAGCAGGAGGGCCCGGGGTCCGTAGGGGGCCCCATGAAATGCCCCTGGTACCTTTTTATAGGCTTTTTTTGAGTGTGGGCAAGGAAACAGGGGCCCTATGATCCCCTATTGCCTGGGGGCCCCATGAGTTCTCAGTCCACCCCTGGTATACAGTTTATTTTAGAGTTTGTCCTGTTTATAAGGACAATAAATAAGTAACATATTGTATTTTTGTTTATAAAAAAAACATTATAGGCTTTCTTTTGGTGATATTGTCTTGAAAAAGTAAATTTCCTATGCAATCTATAAAACAAAAAAAAAAAATTTATTTTTTTTTTTTTTTATAAACTTATAAAGTAGATAGAATGTCTCATTTATAATGACCCTAGTATTACATTCCTGATAGAAAATATTAAAGTTATTTACAAAGGAAATAAAAAGGCTTTTGCCCGGTTTTTAACACAACACTTACAAAAAAAAAAAAAAAAAAAAAAAAAAAAAAAAAAAAATAAAAACACTCTTTAGGCAGCTACAATACTTTTTTTCTCCTAAAGTGGAGCTCCACAAAAAAGGGCAAGTTTCGCTTTTAGGCTCCTGGTAAAGAAATGGGAGCTTTTGGGGGATCACGTACCCAATTTTGAAGGGTAATCGCGCCCACTTCCGCCTAGGCGATCGGATGCGGAAGTCGCCCCCCCACCTCCGTAGTCCTATGGGACACGTGACTGGTCCCAGCAGTCTGCTGGACCATTCACAAGGCGCAACGCTCTTCGGACACGTGCAGTGGGCACCTGGCTGTGAAGCTGCAAGCTGTCCCAGCCGGGTGCCCACAGTTGAGATGTCGGCACCTAGGGCAGGACATCGCTGGGAAGAACAGCTGGGGTGAGCACATCGCTGGATCATGGGACAGGTGAGTGGCTGCTGACTTTTAGTTCGTTACAGGAGGTTGGAGCTCTGCTTTAATAAAAGACTGGTTTGGTTTAAGTGTGGGGGGGTATATGGTTTGTCCCAATCCCAGTAACTGCCAATTTTATTGTTACAGGAAGTGGAAAAATAACAGACCTACTGGCAGGATCAATAGGAAAAAAAAAAAAATTACAGGAAGAACTCAGGAAAAAATAAACCAAACACTTTAGTGTTAACGCATCCGACAGCCTATATATTATATATGTCATTTTATATTTTGCCCACAGTTTCACTTTAACAAGCTCATCCATATAAACTGCCATGATGGAAGGCGGCCATTATCCGAGTAGAAGCCGCGTCTCTAAAAAATAGTGACATTAATAAAGCAAAGCTGTTGCGAGAGAAACATGACAGCTGATCTTAATGAAAATACCAGTTGCCTGGCTATCATGCTGTACCCCTGGCCTGGCTTCAAAACCCAAATCACAGACCTGGGACACGTAGATCAGCAAAGCCAAACGTTCTTCTGGGTCAGGGATTCAAAGCAGCCGAAAAGTTAGCATGATAGCCAGGGGACTAGCCTTTTCAGGAGGGGTCAGCCCCAGATCTCTTCTCTTTGCAGGTTTCCTTTAATAAACAGGGGCCTCTCCTAGTGACATAAGCTGCATGGGAGGGTTCTCAAAATGGTTACTTGTATGTTTAAAACAGAATTCCATACATGAACTCATTTGGGTCTTGGATAGAGGGAAGGATTAGAATCTCAATCTTGCTATCTGGGTACCCATTGATTTCCCTTCACTTCCTGTTCAACAGGTGATCACCAGGGCAGGAAGCAAGAGTAAATCTCCCAAATGGGAACAGACAGACACCAAGAAACCCTTCCATTCCACATCCTTCATAGAAACATTTAAAAAAGACCTCCAGTTTAAAGGGCAAGCACATTCATTTCCAGCTGATTGGAATTGGTGGGGATGGAATTGACACTACTCTAAATTCACTTATCAAGTGCTGATGAGGATTGGTGGGGGGTGGGGGTAGAACGAATTCTACCATCACCTCCATGTCATCAATCTCCATACCTTCTGCCTGAAAGACCCAAGTGATTTCTAGGACCACATCCCGATACCTCCTCTGCCCCGATATTGGGAGCTCCCCTCTATGATGCCTTCCCTTTACTGGAGGCAATAGAGAGGAGCAGGTAAGTGGGACCCAGAGTTCTAAGATTGGGATTTTCAATCTTAAAACGAAAAGGTATAAATAAGTGTCATTTACAGATCCCCATCCCTGGTTGGTGGAGTAGAATGAACCAGCCCTTTAAATCTGGTCTACTATGTATCATACAATATACACCGGGCTGTGTGCAGATTATATGGAAGGCATCCTAATAATGCCGCGACAGACCTTGTAAATGTGGTACTCCGCTCTGAAAAGTCCCCGCAAGTGTGCAGGGCCATAAGAGGGGTCAGCTGTCGCTCTGTCCCCTTCCAAAGACGGGGATCGGAGCCTCAGACTAACATATATACACACACAGCAATGAGGACATGCAGGCCGGCACACAGCTGTATACATAAGGCTGGCACAACACACACACACTGCTGCTGCATGGCACATCAAGCTGGCACTAAACTGACATATATATACACAGCCTGGCACGGCGTAGTGTAGCATCGCTAAAAGGCGACCACAATTTGGGGCAGGATGCACGGGTCTCTGTCACCCTCCCCTGGAATGTAAATGATTGGAGAACAAGGGGATGGCATCCTTTTTTAATCCCCTCTGGTATACCAAGCGTGATCAACGGGAGGATGGACAGGGAAATTTGTTCGCTGGTCTCATTTGGGAAAACGGCCTGCAAAAGAAGAACATGTGAATTAATGGATTAAAGTGGACCGGTCACCAACTCAACGTGTTTAAGATTTCAGATTCAAAACAATTTAGAAAGTTACTGTTCATAAGTCTCCACACGGTCATATTTCCGAGGTGTTTGGAGGCTGACTGTTTTAGCGGAGACTAAATACCTCCTCCCCTTCTTAACAGATTAGTGCGACGCTAAAGCCCGCCTTAGATGGATCGAATCTTGACCAGTTCAACAGGGACTAGCCGAGATTGGATTCATCCATGGGCAAGCTGGTTGTACTGAAGGCGGATCCATCGACTCCAGTACAACCAGCCTGTCAGATTTTTTTTTTCCAGGCGATCACTGCTGGCGGCTATAGCCAGTGCGGTATTTAGGTTTTGTGCTGCCCTAGGCAACACAAAAATAGTCTACCCCAATGGACACTGACCAACACCCCCCCCCCCCCCCCCCCCCACGGATAGAGTCTGACATTGACAACACCACCCGGGAAAGCCTTCCACTACTACCCCACTGATAGAGAGAAAGACACTCATCTTCAAAGCTCCAGATATCTCTGGGAACGGGAGTCAGGCTCTACATACACCATCAAGCAGCCCCTCTTGGATCCCACCTGGTTCCCATGGCATGCGTGTCACCTTCTGTCATCCCTTCTTCTGAGGGGAGGTGCTGCCCGCCTGAAAAAATGCCGCGCTAGGCAAATGCCTTGTGGTAAATACACCCCTGGCTATAGCAACAAGCAGTGACCATTGTGTTCTGCCAGCAGGGAAGGCTACCCATTCACAGAACACAATAGCACTGCTGGAGGGATTCCCCCATCAACATGATTGTGTTGATGGGGGAATCCCTCAATCAGTGCTATTGTGTTATGCCAATGGGTAGCCTTCCCTACTGGCAGAACACAATCATCACTGCTTGTTGCTATAGCCGCCAGCAGTGATTCTTTACACTCATGGTGGAAAAAAAAAAAAAAAAAAAAAAAAAAAAAAAAATTGTACAGTTTATGACATGCTTTACTCAATGGCCATATTATTATTAGGTACACCTTGCTCATTAAAGCAAAGAGCAAATTACATATTGCAACTTCCTAATTAAATTATGACGACAAGGGTGACATGGACCCTTGGTCATTTTTCTCATGTTAAGTGCATTCAGGCTACATATTGTGTAAGGGTAAAGCTTCTACGTGATCATCAGACTCAGGGAGGGGCAAGACCGGTAAGCGTTACTCAACTGCAGAAAACCAAAAAAACAAGTCTCCCGCCATACAGAGCTGTGAAAATCTCACAGCCCCATGAACAGCAACACCAGAAAGTCATTTGGCAGACAAAAAAAAAAAAAGCTTCTTTATATGGATTTCATCTTTTCATTTAACCATTTGCCTGGGGTTCAGCTTTAAAGTGTTTTTAAACCTCTAAAATAAAAACTAAAGAAAAATTAACATAGCATATCCTTCTATAGTATGCATTTGCCTCCATCCAAAGCAGAAAGTGTGATTTCTGTTGCCTCTTTAAATCTGCTATCAGTCACTTCTGACAGTCTATGGCACGGGTATCAAACTGGCAGCCCTCCAGCTGTTTCCAAACTACAAGTTCCATGAGGCATTGCAAGATTGACAGTTACAAGCATGACTCTCAAAGACAGAGGCACGATGGGACTTTTAGTTTTGCAACAGCTGGAGGGCCACCACTTGGACACCCCTGGTGTATGGCATTTGGGCACCAAACAATCCCAGGAAATGGCCCACCCACCACAACAGGTGATTGACAGCCTCAGCTGTGCAGGTATCCCTATAAAACTGTGTAGAGAGTGTGTCCATTCCTTCTACTCAGGTCTCAGATTACACTCAACTCTCTGCTCTATTCTGCGCAGTGTGTGACATCAGATCCCACACCCCCTAAAGAGTAGAAATATTGGGCTTTGAAAAGCTGTAGAGGAGAGATGGCTGCAGATAAACAGATACAATGTAGGATGATTTGCTTCATCTCTAGGTATCATCTAAAAGTTTGTCACTTCACTAGGTAAATGTAAGGGTTTCCAACCACTTTAAAGAGCCCATTCTGAAGACTGTAAATATCCTTTAACTACAAGACCAGGAAACTGAATACACAGATCAGTAGGAATCATTAGCAAATCAGAAAAGGTGAATCTGAGAAACGCTCACACTGTCATTCATCGATACCAATGGAGCAGGAGTCAGGGCCCAGCGCTGTAGGAAGGAAAGAAAGCAAACAGTTACAGAAGTTCGTACAGTATAGCAGACACAGAGAATACAGAAGCGGCAGGAGTCACCTACTGAAAAGCTTCACCTCTGCAGAGAAACCTCAAAGTACGAAGCTCAATATGCAAATATTACGTTTCTGCAAATAAAAGTCACATACCAGCTTGCCCCCTCCTATAACTTTCCCTTGGTAACCAAGTGGAAGAACCAACAGGCAATTGTAGGAAGGAGTAGACCAGAGCTCGACTTTACAGCTCAAGTTTAAATTTGCATATTTAAAAAAGGGTCCATATTGTGGGGGTTTTAGAATGTTCAGAAATCTTCATGAACACACACACACACACACTTATATAGCAATGTACGCAGCGCTTTACATATATACACACACACACACACACACATATATTGTACATTCACATCAGTCCCTACCCCTCAAGGGGTGTACAATCTAAGGTCCCTAACTCACATTCATACATACACATACTAGGGACAATTTAGACAGCAGCCAATTAACCTACCAACATGTCTGTGTGGGAGGAAACCGGAGTACCCGGCGGAAACCCACACAGGCACAACATGCAAACTCCAGGCGGGTGGTGCCGTGGTTGAGATTTGAACCAACGTCCCCAGTACTGCCAGGCAGTGCTAACCATTTAGCCACTGTGCTGCGCATATATATATACACACACACACACACACACACACACACACATATGCATATATACACACACACACACACATATATACATATACACACACACACACACACACACACACACACACATATATACATATACACACACACACACACACACATATATACATATACACACACACACACACACACACACACACACACACACATATATACATATACACACACACACACACACATATATACATATACACACACACACACACACACACACACATATATACATATACACACACACACATATATACATATACACACACACACACACACACACACATATACATATACACACACACACACACACACACACACATATATACATATACACACACACACACACACACACATATATACATATACACACACACACACACACACATATATACATATACACACACACACACATATATACATATACACACACACACACACACACACACACACACACACACACATATACAAATACATACACACCTGAGAGCATCTTCATTTCATTCCATAGTTTACCTGGCATATTTGTACAGACAAATTTACATTAAACCCGTGGCACTGACCATATGCATATATGCGGTCCCACAGAAGTGAGTCTTTATCCATGAGGTTGCATATATGCGTCCCCGTGTTTGTGCTGGGAGCGCACTGGACAGCACTATCCAAGCACAGAGACCAAGATCCCACAGAGAGGCCCGGATCTCATGCTAACAATCGGGACCCGGGACTCCTGGTCACCTGATCGCTCTGATAGGCCATCACTGTGCGGCCCACCCATGTGTTTTTCTTTCTCCTCTGAATGGAGAGTTCCTTTGCATCTTTCTCTCCTTGCAGGGGAGAAACATAAACAAAAAGTGTGTAGAAATGGAATTAAAAGGTTTGATCTAATCAAAAAAAGCAAAACATGCACTATGGTTTCTGGGCAGGAAATGATCCAGACCTTACTAACAGGGACACATACAGTACATTTGCACGTTTACATAGAGATATATATATTACACGTACATACACATACAGTGCTCAGCAAAAATGAGTACACCCCTTTTGAAAATTAAGATTTTATTTACAATCTCAAAGAACACAAGAACAATTTCCACAATTTTGACAAAACTGAGTTTTCTGGAACATTTGTTTAGCTCATGACATGAAAGGAAGGTTAATATTATAACTTGTAAATGTATGAGTTAGCGAGCGCACCAAGTAAAGCTGCTGATGCACAAAAAGGAACCACAAAACCTTTCTAAAAGTATAACATAAAAAATGGGGTGTGCAGCGCTATACAAATAAACCACACTGTCACAAGTATGACAAAATATGACAAAAAAGTCCTATAAACTGAATAATATACAGTCCAAGGTGATGTGATATGAGTCCAAAAAGGTATATTCCAGTGATGGAGTATGAATGACTTCAATCCAAATGGGTATATTTCAACATCCTAAAATGAAGGTGTAGAAAAATTGCCCACTCACCGGAAGTGCAATTTAATGTGCACATAGAAATTCCATGAAGCCGGAAGTCCCGTGAAGGTACAGCCTGATGATGAAGGTGCCCTCTGATGGTAAATGGGGTGACGGCTGCCAGAGATGATGGTCTGGACCTATATCCCAAATTCTCCTGCCTGGATGGACTCCTAAAATGCTGGGCTGAGATGTGAAGGCTCAGTGCCGGGTGATAGAGATGGAAATACTCATGGTGTAGTATTATGAAATGTATTTATTGGGTAAAGATCATTATAATAAAATAATACACGTACAGGGTTAGAGTACCTATACAGATATGGTGTGAAATGAGCTCTTAGAAAACACTGACCAGTGGATAAAAAAATGGTGGCCACCGGACCTCCTGATCCGGTGGCGTAACGTCAAGGCGTGCAGAGGCTCCTCCTAGACGCGCTTCGTGTAATAACACGTCTCCTGTAGGGGTGATGTCATGTTAGACGTGTTATTACACGAAGCGCGTCTAGGAGATGCCTCTGCACGCCTTGACGTTACGCCACCGGATCAGGAGGTCCGGTGGCCACCATTTTTTTATCCACTGGTCAGTGTATTCTAAGAGCTCATTTCATATCTGTATAGGTACTCTAACCCTGTACGTGTATTATTTTATTATAATGATCTTTACCCAATAAATACATTTCATAATACTACACCATGAGTATTTCCATCTCTATCACCCGGCATTGAGCCTTCACATCTCAGCCCAGCATTTTAGGAGTCCATCCAGGCAGGAGAATTTGGGATATAGGTCCAGACCATCATCTCTGGCAGCCGTCACCCCATTTACCATCAGAGGGCACCTTCATCATCAGGCTGTACCTTCACGGGACTTCCGGCTTCATGGAATTTCTATGTGCACATTAAATTGCACTTCCGGTGAGTGGGCAATTTTTCTACACCTTCATTTTAGGATGTTGAAATATACCCATTTGGATTGAAGTCATTCATACTCCATCACTGGAATATACCTTTTTGGACTCATATCACATCACCTTGGACTGTATATTATTCAGTTTATAGGACTTTTTTGTCATATTTTGTCATACTTGTGACAGTGTGGTTTATTTGTATAGCGCTGCACACCCCATTTTTATGTAATATTATAACTTGGATCACAAAAACTTCAGTTTTACTCAAATTAGTTGATACAAAAATGAATCCACCACACAACAAAAACGCCTCCATCTGGTATTTTGTTTGACCTCCATGATTTGTAAGGACGGCACCAAGTCTTCTAGGCATGGAATGAACAAGTTGGTGACAATATTGCAACATCGATCTTTTTCCATTCTTCAAGAACGACCTCTGTTAGAGCCGGGATGCTGGATGGAGAGTGATGCTCAACTTGTCTCTTCAGAATTCCCCATAGGTGTTGGGTTCAGATCAGGAGACATACTTGGCCACTGAATCACTTTCACCCGGTTCTTCTTCAGAAATGCAACAGTGGCCTTACAGTGGATATAAAAAAGTCTACACACCCCTGTTAAAAACTCAGGTTTCTGTGATTGAAAAAGTTCTAAAATTTGTTATTTTTGTTTCATTTTTTACACCTTTAATGTGACCTATAAACTGTACAACTCAATTGGTGCTTTTCTTCAACCCTTCTCATCAGAGGACATCCTGTCAAGATGCCAACTTCCGTGGACGGCCTGGACGTTTCTGTGAGATGGCTGCAGTTCCATCTTTGTTAAATTTTTCTACTTTTGCTCCAGTATTCTGACTGATAAGTAAAGCTTTGCTGATCATCTTGTAGCCTTCACCTTTCTTGTGTAAAGAAATTATTTTCTCTCTCAGGCCTTGTGACATTTTTCTTCCATGTGGTGCCATTGCTGACAGCATGAAATGGGAGTTTTTTTAAGTAACACCCTTTTATAATCAACCTGTTTAATGAATAATTAGACACCTGTAGTTGATTTTTTGGCAATTAGGATTTTGATGTCTAAAATGTAGTTTTTCTTCTAAGATTTTCATTGGGGTGTATTCATTTTTGCAACCTGGGCTTGAATGAACGTTAGGGAAAAAAAAAATTTGTGCGTGCAAATTAACAAATCTCATTTGCAATCAATGGCTGGCATTTTTGGGAGGATTTTGTAATATAGTGTCTCATAGAAAATGTTGATTCTGAAAGGAAAGTAAAGGTTTTCTGATAAATCTGTTGGGGTGTACTCATTTATGCTGAGCAGTGTACACACACACACCTCTCTATCAAGGTGGGAAAGGGCTAGTATGCTGGAAGGTTTTTGTTTTTGTTTTTTTTAATCCTTGTTGGGGAGACATCCTCACTTCCTGTGTAGTCACCTGAACAGAAAGTAAAATCTCCACAACAGGGATACAAAACAGAAATAAAAACCCCAACAAAATGGTTACAACTTGTTCCCCCACAGTTTTGGCTGGAGATGAGCTTTAACCACTTGCCCTCCTGAGGACTCTCCCCCCCCCCCCCCCCCCCCCCCCGACCGGGCCATTTTTTTGCATTATGGCACTGCGTTACTTTAACTGACAACTGCACGGTCATGCAATGCTGCACCCAAATTAAATAAACGTCCTTTTTTTTTTTTTACAAATCGAGTTTTCTTTCAGGTGTATTTGATAGTCTATGCGGGTTATTTTTTTGCGCAAAAAAAAAAAAAAAAAAAAAATTTAAAAAAAAACAACAATTTGAGAGAAAAAAATATTTACTTTTTAAAACTAGTCAACATGTTGAGTAAAAAAAAAAAAAAAAAAAAAATCAAATTTTGTCATAAATTTACACCAAAATGTATTCTGTGACATCTTTGCTAAAAAAAAAAAAAAAAAACAAAACAAAACAAAACAAAACAAAAAAAAAAAAAAACAAATCCCAATACGTGTAAATTAATTGCCTTACATAAACTTTTCAGTGCTTACAAATGGTGGTATATATATACTGGATTTTTTTTTTCTTTACTAATAATGGCAGTGATCAGCGGCTTATAGCGGGACTACGCCGGGCATTCTGACACTAGGCGGGAACTGACTTGGTGTTACTGACATCCCCAGTGACACCAAAACAGTGATCTGTGCTGAAGAAAAAAAATAAATAAAGCACTGGACACTGTAATGGCACTGGGCAAGAAGTTAACATGAGGGGTGATCAAAGGGTTAACTATGTGCTGGGAGTGTTTTACTAGGAGGCGGTGTGTTGGTGCTTCACTGTAAGCACACTGCTCTGGATGGCTGTGCACAGCACAGTGTGCCCGAGCCGGCAGGGCAGAGGAGGACAGTTAGTAAACAAAACAGTCCTCTTTCCTGTCGGAGGTGCTCTGTGGGCGCCAGTGGGGAATCACCGGACGGGACCGCGAATGGCGGCGCGGGTAGGGTGCTCGCCCCCTACCTAGAAATGCAAAATCTCACACACACACACACACACACACACACACACACACACACACTTTTGCGCACTCCTGCCGCCCTGTAACAGTATATCTGCTATATGGCAGCGGGGAAGCGGTTAAAAGGCAGCAGTCTAATGACAACCAAAAGAAGAAGAAAGCATAAAAGAGAACCTGTCACATCCTGGGCATCATCATCTTTAAGCTCCTGGGATTCTGGACTTTCAATCTGCTCACTGATCTGAGATTGAGATCGGGACCCTGAGAAATAAAGCAAAGGGAGGATTTTATGATAATTTCAGAGACATTCACAGAGATTATGAGGATTATAATGTGGACTACAACGTCTCACCTCGATGTGCAGACACAATCTCTGGAGTGTCAGCGGATGAGATTGTCTATAAGACAATGAGAGTGTCAGACAACAGTCCTAAAAAAGGTATCCTAAGAGGAGGACACATGACTAACACCCACCTCTGTGTGTGAGGGGTCTCTACTGAGCGATCCAAGCAGGGCTGGCCTCTCGCCATCACACCCTCCAGACATGTCCTCGTCCTCTTCATGGATAGGGGATGATGGTGATCGCAGACCACTGCATGACATAACAGGCAGAAGAATATAAAGACCAACTCAAGCCAAAGCTTTATTTTTAATAGAGAGGATTTAGTATCTTTTTAAGGTTTCTACCTCTCTGATATAGAAGAAAGATCACCCAACTGATGGCTAAAGTCTAAATATATTTATTGATCTAAAAGCCTATAAACAAATCTATGAGTCTGCAGAACACTTCATCAGAGCTTAAACTGGCCAAAAGAAGAGGACACAGTCCAGGTATCCATCACTTGGCAGGTTTTTTTTTTGTTTTTTACTAAAATTGTGAGTACATGATGCAGTAAAAGTAGTGTATGGGAACCAAAGGATGGGGAAAAGATAGGACTGGATCTCTTCAAAATTAACCAATTCAATACCGGGCAATTTTACACCGTCCTGCCCAGGCCAGTTTTCAGCACTCTCACACGTTGAATGACAATTGCGCGGTCATACAACATTGCACCCAAACTAAAATTTTATAAATTTTCTTCACACAACTAGAGCTTTCTTTTGGTGGTATTTAATCACCGCTGGGGTTTTTATTTTTTGTTAAAATTAACAAAAAAAGACCAAAAATTTTGAAGAAAAAAAAAAACAAAAAAAAAAAACCACACATTTTTCTTTGTTTCTGTTATAAAAGTTTGCAAATAAATAATTGTTCTTCATAAATTTAGGCCGAGATGTATTCTGCTACATGTCTTTGGTGAAAATAACCCAAATTAGGATGTATTTCTTAGTTTGTAGGAAAGTTATAGAGTTCACAAACTATGGTATAGATCTGAATATTGATCAGTCCTGAAGTACTGGCGGCCAATCTAATTTCTTGAGGTTCAAGAATGTCAGAACAGTACAGATATCCCCCAAATGTCAGAACAGTACAGATATCCCCCAAATGTCAGAACAATACAGATATCCCCCAAATGTCAGAACAGTACAGATATCCCCCAAATGTCAGAACAGTACAGATATCCCCCAAATGACCCCTTTTTGCAGAGTAGACAGTCCGACGTACTTAAGAGGAATGGCGAGTTTTTTTAAATTGTATTTTTTTTGTCATAATTTTTTGGAAAATTAAAAAATTAAAAAAATTAGTTTCACTGTTTGTTTTTTTTTACATATTGTCACCAGTGCAGTACAGCGTCCTCATATAACTGGCATGGCGGTGAACAGGGACACTGACTGGTGACAGTATGAAAAAAATATATATATATTTAATTATTTTTTATAAAAAAAAAATTATTTTTTTTTCATATTTCACTATAACCAAAGTAGTACAATGTTACCATAGTAACATTGTACTACTTTGGGGAAGTGATTTTTTTTTTTTTTTTTTTTTTTTTTTTTTTTTTAAACACAATTTGCTTATAGCAAAGAATTACTTTGCTATAAGCAGGCATTTACCTGAATGACATCGATTCATTCAGGGGTTTTTTTTTTTTTGTGCTTAGCTGTGATTTGGCCACAGCTAATCACATGACATGTGCATGTGATTAGCTGTGACCATGAATGAAGCCATCCATTTTATACAACGGTCATGTGACCTGCTGTGATTGGTCACAGCAGGTCACATGGTACCGGCAACAGGGGCCGATACTCAGATCGGTCATCGGCCGTGTCTGAGGTACACAGCCAGTGACAGATCACGCCGCTGCGCGGCTCTGCAGGAGCGCAATCTGTGCATGTGCAGGAGGATGCCAGCTGATGACATTTGCCGGCCGCCATTCGGCCATAGGGTGGGCGGCAAATGGTTAAAAATGAACAGGATTCTCTGCATTACTGAGCCTGAAATGGAGAAATGGATGCACCAGATGACATGCGAGCAGCATGGTCAGTCACTGGAGCTTCATTCCATGTTTTTGTTGCACAAAAACAGCAAAAAAAAGAAAACTAACTGTAGCTAGTTTGTGATAAGCCATTGTTATATAAATATGATCATTTTCTTTCATTAAAATCTGTTTCAGGCCATTCATAAGGTAAAACCAAGATATACTGTATACTGGTACCAAATAGGACTGGGGAGAATGATGATTTTGACAGTCTGGCAAATCAGACATGGGGATATAAAATTGGCAATCAATTGGGGGTCTGGAAGTGTAAAAAAGCTAAAGTGTGCATTAAAATAAAAATATAAAAAAAAAAAAAAAATCCTCATAAGACCTCCTTTTTCAAGTTGTTCCGGTCTTTTACACCATAGTGTCCCATTTTTCTCTAAAGTATTCTCTGTCCTTTCCAGCTCCTAGCTGCCCACATCACAGGCAGCCATGCTGACCAGTGCAGCCCAGAGTACATGATGGACAACAGCTCCTACAGGGAGCCTGTCATGTGATGAGCGTTTCTTGAAGTCATATGATCGCTTTTCCTCCACTCCACTTGGAAGGAGGACATGAATAGGTGGCAGTCACAATGATGTCACCAGGACATGTGACAAGCTGCAGCTTAGACCCACCTATCAACCTGGCCTGTGACAGTTTATATTTCAGGATTTGATGAGTAGAATTGTTGGCTTGATGCCCAACCCAATACCAGGGGAGAGCATCTGGGATTACACCCACTTCAATGAAGTGAAATGGAAGCAATGGTCATTACCTCTTTCTTGAACATAATAAGCAAGCACAATGAAGCGGTCGCTTTTCTCATGTACATTCCTAGAATGAGCAACAGCAAAGAACAGGGCCAACCATACCTGTCAGATGTCTTTATGTGCTTGTTCTTGTGGAGGGAGTTGTCAGGGGCCCCCCGAGCAGGCAGGCCTTCACTGTATGGTATTTCTTCATAGAGCGGTGCGCTGGAAGGAGGAGACCGCAGACCGTTCAGTGCCTCCAACAGGGAGATGGGTTCAAAACCTGGAGGGATGTTATCTGCGCCCTAAAAAAAAAAAAAAAAAAAAAAAAAAAAAAAAACAAAAAACAAGAAGAAAGGAAAAAGGCTTAAAAACAAAAAGGAACTGCTGAACCCAAGCTCACTGCCAGAAAGGGCCACACACAAAAGCATACTTAAGGCCCCTGTACACATGCTTGGTACTGTGAATCGCTAGACCATTATAAAAATCTGATCATTTCTAGAAGTTATAATGGGATATAGCTTTTTGGGTATACTGGATAGCAAAACAAGATGGTTTCTTTACCTGCCGCATGTATATAAAACAAACTATGAGACAACACACACCCACCTTAATATAAACCCAATTAAAGTTGTTTCACAATCCTTCCCCTGAAGTGCCAACATAAAATATATAAAAACAAACTTAACATAAATAAACCCAAAGTCCAATAAAAGTCCAAAGCCAGAAAAAATATGCCAAATAAGTCCACAATCTTGAAAAATACACACAGATTCCGATGATCGATGATGAATCCCAAAAATCTTCGTGTACCTCAAACAAAAAAAAAAAACCTCAACATAGTGTATTATCTTAGGTCTCAAAAAGGTGCCACACGTGCAACATGCAAACGCTACAGTGCCACAGCAATTGTGAGAGATTCAAAAGAAGCACAGTTTACACCACTGCAAATATAGTAAAAGTGCATAATTACCCTAAAATAAATGAAACCAACATGTAATCCATAGTTAGGAATGGAGTTTCCTCAAAATGACATCTTCTCCAGACACTTCCCATAGACCTCACCTTTTTTGTTTGAGGTACATGAAGATTTTTGGGATTCATCATCGATCATCGGAATCGGTGTGTATTTTTCAAGATTGTGGACTTATTTGGCATATTTTTTCTGGCTTTGGACTTTGGGTTTATTTATGTTAAGTTTGTTTTATATATTTTATGCCGCATGTATACATGTTGTGGGAATGCTACTACATTCCACCACAAAAAAATAAAAAAGGGGGGAGGGTAGGGTACAGGTTGTGTATAATAAAAAAAAAAAAAAATTTACTTGTCAGGTTGCTTTAACCAAACGATCTGCGGATGAATGAGCTATTTATAAACCGTTTCAGGCTGCTTTTTTTTACAGCTACAGCTGCAAACACCTTCTGTGAGTGTACAGTAATTGCGGCTTTGATTAATCAAAGGGGGGGGGACTGAACATGCTACACACGGGCTGTGTACAATGATATTGTTTTTTTTTGGGGATCATGTGTAGCACATCCAGGGTCTGCAACTAGCTAAGCAGGCCATGTCCATATGTACAGTATATTTAAATGTGTTTATAAATCGGTTCCCTTTAATATAATCAGACAAGGTCTTGTGGGTCTCCCCATTTACTACTCACGGAGTTGTCATCATGGTCCAGGCTCTGGGCCAGCACAGGGCTGAATGAGATGGGAGGGAGAGGGCCCGGCTTCCGGCGCACAGCACGGATCTGTAGAAGAGCACGGAAAGCTGTGCAGTGCAAAAGATAAAATATTAGTACCACAAGGATCTGCTAAAATACAGGGAGGTGCAGCAACATCATGTCTGCCCAAAAGCAGAGAAGATACTCACGCAGCCTGCAGATGGGGCAGTTGTTGGCTTGGTAGCGCAGGGTGTCAGCACACGAGTTACATAGACACAGGTGACGGCACGGTAGGATCAGGGTGTCCCGCAGATCGGAGAGACAAACCACACATTCATTACTATTGTCGCCGTTTTCATCTTCTGAGGGCTGTATGAGTAGAAAGAAAGTTATGAAAACGCAAAAGCACAGCTTGCTATAAATAAGAATTATATATTTTGTCTTTATACAGCAATTCACTTTTTAGTTTTTATCTAAAAGTTTGCAAAAGATCCCAACATATTCCACTGAGATACTTCTGCAACCCTCTTTTTGCTGCATAGAATTCTGGCTAAAAATGGTTGCACTTAGGTTTCTTGTATGGTCTTTACACCCTGTTCCAAATTATTATGCAAATTCTATTTAAGTGTCACAAAGATTAAATATTTTGTTTTTCAGTGTAACTCATGGATGGCATTGTGTGTCAGGGCTCTTTTGATCACTGAAAACAATCTGGGACACCTGTGATCATTAGATTGGCCGGTGAGCCCAATTTAAGGAAAAACTACTAAAGGAGGGCGTTCCACATTATTAAGCAGAGCACCATTTTCAAGCAATATGGGGAAGAAAAAGAATCTCTCTGCTGCCGAAAAGAGTGAAATAGTTCAAGGCCTTGGATGAGGTATGAAAACATTCGATATTTCACGAAAACTTAAGCATGATCATCGCACTATTAAGAGATTTGTGGCTGATTCAGAGCACAGACGGGTTGGTGCAGATAAAGGCCCATTGAGGAAGATTCCTGCCAGATCCATGCATCGGATCAAGAGAGCCGCTGCTAAAATACCATTACATAGCAGCAAACAAATATTTGAAGCTGCTGGTGCCTCTGAAGTCCCACGAACATCAAGGTGTAGAGTCCTCCAGAGTCTTGCAACTGTGCATAAACCTTCTATTCGGCCACCACTAACCAATGCTCACAAGCAGAAATGGCTGCATTGGGCAGAAAAATACATGAAGACTAATTTTCAAACATTCCTGTTCACTGATGAGTGCCGTGCAACCCTGGATGGTCCAGATGGATGGAGTAGTGGATGGCTGGTGGACGGCCACCCTGTTCCAACAAGGCTGCGACGTCAGCAAGGCGGAGGTGGAGGTAATTTTTTTGGCCCGGAATCATGGGAACAGAGCTGGTCAGCCCCTTTAGGGTCCCCGAAGGTGTAAAGATGACCTCTGCAAAGTATGTGGAGTTTATGACTGACCACTTTCTTCCCTGGTACAGAAGGAAGAACTATGCTTTCCATAATAAAATCATCTTCATGCATGACAATGCACCATCTCATGCTGCAAAGAATACCTCTGCATCAATGGCTGCTATGAGGATAAAAGGAGAGAAAGTCATGGGGTGGCCTCCATCCTCCCCTGACCTTAATCCTATTGAGAACCTTTGGAGCATCCTCAAGCAAAAGATCTATGAGGGTGGGAGGCAGTTTACATCCAAACAGCAGCTCTGGGAGGCTATTCTGACATCTTGCAAACAAATTCAAGCAGAAACTGTCCACAAACTCACAAGTTCAATGGATGCAAGACTTGTGAAGCTGCTATCAGATAAGGGGTTAAAATGTAATGTGACCTGTTAAAATGTTTAAAAAGTTAAAATGTTGTTAAGTTTGATTGAAATAGCTTTTGATTTCAGTAAATACGCTGCAAACACAACAAATGACAATTTTCAGTTCTTTACAACCTATAAAGTGTTTTGAAACTTACTGTGCAGAATAATTTGGAACAGTCATTGTAAGTGTTTTATGTTTAAAAAAAATAAATCCTGTTATCATTAGGAGGTTTGTTCAATAAAATGGGAATTGTACTCTTAATAGCTGATAACATGAGAATTATGCTGACTGGTATTTACATCATTTAGGTAAATGAGAAAAAATATAATTTGCATAATAATTTGGAACACGGTGTAATTATCTACAATGGACTCCTTGTCACCGTGTTTAAAAACATTATATATACCGTATTTTTCGCTCCATATGACGCACTTTTTTCCCCCCAGAAAGGGGGGAAAATGTCAATGCGTCTTATGGAGCGAATATGGAGCGGCGGGTCCGGTATTTCCATCGCGGCCGTGTCAGAATACCGGGCCGGCCGCTCAGCTCTGCAGCGGGACCTTATGGAGATGACTGCTGACCTTTGGGGAGGTGGGGAGCAGGTACCTGAATTTGACAGTTACCCGATCTTACTTCCGCGGAGTTGTTCTTTGATCTTACCTGTTCCTCTATCCAGCGGCGCGCTGTCTTCCCGGCTTCTGTAGTGTGGGCGCTCGGCATGACAGCCGGGTGCCAAGTGCGCATGCGCAAGAAGCGGTGCTTTTTGTGAATGGTAAGGCGGTACCTGGGACACATGACAGATCCCAGAAGCCGCCGGACCAATCACAAAGCGCAAGTGCTTCTCGCCCATGCGCACTGGGCACCCGGCTGTCATGCAGAGCGCCGACACTACAGAAGTCGGGAAGACAGCGTGCGGCTGGATAGAGGAAAAGGTAAGATCAAAGAACAACTCCGCGGAAGTAAGAGCGGGTACCTGTCAAATTCAGGTACCCGCTCCCCCCCCCCTCCCCAAAGGTCAGCAGTAATCCCCTGTCCTGTGTCCGCAGTCTCTGGTCATCTCCTGTCCTGTGTCCGCAGTCTCTGGTCATCTCCTGTCCTGTGTCCGCAGTCTCTGGTCATCTCCTGTCCTGTGTCCGCAGTCTCTGGCCATCTCCTGTCCTGTGTCCGCAGTCTCTGGCCATCTCCTGTCCTGTGTCCGCAGTCTCTGGCCATCTCCTGTCCTGTGTCCGCAGTCTCTGGCCATCTCCTGTCCTGTGTCCGCAGTCTCTGGCCATCTCCTGTCCTGTGTCCGCAGTCTCTGGCCATCTCCTGTCCTGTGTCCGCAGTCTCTGGCCATCTCCTGTCCTGTGTCCGCAGTCTCTGGCCATCTCCTGTCCTGTGTCCGCAGTCTCTGGCCATCTCCTGTCCTGTGTCCGCAGTCTCTGGCCATCTCCTGTCCTGTGTCCGCAGTCTCTGGCCATCTCCTGTCCTGTGTCCGCAGTCTCTGGCCATCTCCTGTCCTGTGTCCGCAGTCTCTGGTCATCCCCTGTACTGTGTCCGCAGTCTCTGGTCATCTCCTGTACTGTGTCCGCAGTCTCTGGTCATCTCCTGTACTGTGTCCGCAGTCTCTGGTCATCTCCTGTACTGTGTCTGCAGTCCATTAGTTCAGAATTTTTTTTTTCCTGTTTTCTGCCTCTAAAACCTAAGTGCGTCTTATGGTCAGGTGCATCTTATGGAGTGAAAAATATATATTTATTCAGAAAACATGCAATACATTAGACTGTGTACAGTTACCTTGGTCTCTTGGTTGTTCTTGTTCTCAATGCCGTAGATTTCTTGCAACAGGTAACTGACTCGATCCACCTGCAGGAAACAACGCAGACTGTAAATAGGCAGAATGTCATTGGGATTGCTCATGGAAAGGATGCGGTACTTTGCGAAAGTATACACCCCCATGGTTTATTTCCAGTTTTATTGCATTACCTTATCCAATCTCCATGTTGGTCCTTAAAACAAAGTATAGGTTTGCTTTAACTCCTCACCCCCAGCAGCCTTTACTATGTTCCCCTGCCTTTCCATTCAGTGCCAGGTGCTAAAGAAAATATCTGGTACCTCCAGGTAAGAAAAACCATGTGACAATGTTACATGTTCCACCCTAAAAACAAATGGAACATATAACAAGTTTCCAAAGGTGAACTTATCCTTTAAAATGGCTGTGGACCTGTCGGTATGGTATGACTAGGCGCCCCTGGCAATAAATGCCTTAACATCTACTTCTGATCTTTGTGCTGTGATTCCGTGAATGTTTTACACATTAGCAATACAAAAGTTGGAACTTTTTGTCAGCACATGGTCATCCATATTTCCCATCCAGGTCAATCCAAGTCACAGTGTTGGCCCAAAATGCATTGTCACACAAGAAAAACCAGAGACGTACAAGTGAATCATGGCTTACACGGAACAATCTTTTGCTCCAGATGGCTGGCACGTGGGGGAGCGCAAAAAGCCAGGTAGAAACTGCGGAGGAGCATGGGCATAGCAAAAGGTTTCCAATAGGCTAATAATCTTTACCAACATGTTCTGCTCATATTTAGGGTGTAACATGTAAAATGTTGCTAAGCACCACCACACCCCTGTGACCTGGTGCAAGGATTCCTCACCCCCTGAACCACGCCATGCGGGGCTCTATCTACACACCTTTGTCATTCATTCACAGAGATTCCATTAACGAATGAACTACAAGTCCCATAGGCCAACATGGCAGACAGTTCAGTAGTTCTCTATGGAATACAAGTAGGATGACAAACACACTCATAGTCCATTGACACTTCCTCCACCTTTCCAACTGAAAGGCTTTTTCTTAATGATGAACCAAGCCTTTAAAATTTGATCGGCAGCCTCAATGACCAATAGGAAAGGTCCAGAGGTGGGACCAGGCACACCAAGGTGAGATCTGGTTACAGGTCAAGGCTGCCTCCTACTCTGGATCTATGGAGAGTCTTGAGACACTGGGGTTGATTTACAAAAGGCAAATAGACTGAGTGCAGATGCTTCAGAGCGTAGTAAGTGAGGTAAACCTTATAACTACAAAGAATACCCAATCACATGCAAAGAAAATTAAAAGCATGATTGGATAATGGAAGTCAGAAGAGCTTTACCGCATTGTTACTAAACCCATAACAGTACAATCAGTCTGTAGATGCAGTAAAGCATGCTTGTTATACTCACTGTGGAACCTAAGGGGTTAATCCTCTGCATTGTGTAAAAAGGCTGTTTGATTCTGACAACTCTGATCCTCCCCTTCTTCCAGTGTCCCCCTCTTATCTACTGATAAGACATATCGTGTGGAGTCACTCTGCACATGCTCAGTTTGGTGTATTGATAGACAGGTTTTTTTTTTTCCCCCCTCTCTCTCTTGGAGAGTGCATGTGATCAGCAAATGGCCAATCAGCACTGCCCAGATAGAGGTCAGAGGTTCTGCATCCCCAGAGAGCAGAAAGAAAACTACTCCTACAAGCTTTAATCAGTGCTTGGCTGGACACTGATAGAAGTCACAAGACTGCTATATACGGTTGATGGGAAAAAAAAAAAAAAAAAAAAAAAAAAAAAAAAAAAAAGGTATTTAGCAGTTTATATTTACTAAAATAATTGCATTTCCATGTTGTGTGTACTGTGGGAGACCAGACATGGCGAATGCCGGGTCCGGGGAGACCAGACATGGCGAATGCCGGGTCCGGGGAGACCAGACATGGCGAATGCCGGGTCCGGGGAGACCAGACATGGCGAATGCCGGGTCCGGGGAGACCAGACATGGCGAATGCCGGGTCCGGGGAGACCAGACATGGCGAATGCCGGGTCCGGGGAGACCAGACATGGCGAATGCCGGGTCCGGGGAGACCAGACATGGCGAATGCCGGGTCCGGGGAGACCAGACATGGCGAATGCCGGGTCCGGGGAGACCAGACATGGCGAATGCCGGGTCCGGGGAGACCAGACATGGCGAATGCCGGGTCCGGGGAGACCAGACATGGCGAATGCCGGGTCCGGGGAGACCAGACATGGCGAATGCCGGGTCCGGGGAGACCAGACATGGCGAATGCCGGGTCCGGGGAGACCAGACATGGCGAATGCCGGGTCCGGGGAGACCAGACATGGCGAATGCCGGGTCCGGGGAGACCAGACATGGCGAATGCCGGGTCCGGGGAGACCAGACATGGCGAATGCCGGGTCCGGGGAGACCAGACATGGCGAATGCCGGGTCCGGGGAGACCAGACATGGCGAATGCCGGGTCCGGGGAGACCAGACATGGCGAATGCCGGGTCCGGGGAGACCAGACATGGCGAATGCCGGGTCCGGGGAGACCAGACATGGCGAATGCCGGGTCCGGGGAGACCAGACATGGTGATTGCCGGGTCCGGGGAGACCAGACATAGTGATTACAGGGTCCGGGGAGACCAGACATAGTGATTACAGGGTCCGGGGAGATCAGATATAGTGAATGCCGGGTCCTGGGTTTAATAAAACTTTAAGCTCTGGAGCAGCTGCACTTGCAGAGTGCACAGTCATTTTGCCTTTAGTAAATCAACCATCTTCCCCGATCCCCATCGTACCATCAGATTGAATGGTTAGGCTTGTGACAGGTTGCCTTTAATGCACTCAGATTTGACATATTCCATAATCTCTCCGGGAGCAGACACGGTTCATTTTGTTTTATTGGCTCAGGCCTCTCACCACATCTCCATCAGAGCTACATTCGGACAGGTTGTAGAGAAGATTAGTGTCTCCTGGTGCTCCACTGATGAAACAAGGCCCACTCTCTTTTAAACATCTGCCATCCTGTGTTCAGACTAACCAATTTGATGGCTGCAGAGCATGCTGGGAGCTCTGGTTCCCCAACTAACCCCATTAGACTTTAAAATGTCCTTTTGTTGGATTATGGTGACAGACTAACAGAATAAGGGGATCTACTCACAATCTGCTTCTGCTTCAGAGGCTTCACAGAGTAGCTGCCATCCACATGCTGCAGAGACAAGAATATGAAGTGTCATTAAAAGGTGCGGTGTTTTGCAAGATCTTATGAAAAATAACGTATGCACATTATCCTACAAATATAAGAAAATTTATTATTTTTTTGTAAAAAGGTGGAATTGGCCTTCAAACAGTAGGTTGCAGTATCTTACCTTTTCAAAAGCAGCTAAAAGTACGTGAGCGTGTCCAGACCCCTCTGTAGAAAAACACACAGCATGAGACATTCTTGGAACTTACAAATCTTGCTTTAATACGAAGAGTTCATTACATGCAGAGGTCACAAGTATAAAATGAACGGCATTGTTGGCATACCTCCTCCCTCCGCAACTACGGCCTGAATGACAAGCGGAATGACCCCTTTATCCAGATCAAAGTTCAGCTAAGGAGAACAAAAAATAAACACAGTAAACAGAATGCCAGCTACAACTACTGGACAGCAGGCACACAGTCAAAGTCATAGAAAATGCTACTAGGGGGCAAGAGTTCAAAAACCTGTCTCTGAGAAGCAATACTTAAAGGGGAAGTTTTTTTTTTTGTTTTTTTTTTAACCACTTCCCGACCGGCCGTTGCATATAAACGGCCGGACGGTGGCACTGCAGGGTCGGGTGGCCGTTTATAAACAGCCTCCCCGCACCCTGCTTGTGCGCGCTCCCAGCACCGCGATCCGGTGCCCGCTGTGTCCTCCGGACACAGTGAAACACCGATCGTCGGACGGGACCTCTGTACGAGGTCCCGATCATGTGATCACTGATTGGCCAATCAGTGATCACATGCAAAGTAGTAAGCAAGATGTCACTTGTGACATCATTGCTTACTACCTGTGAAATCTTTGAATGATCACAGAGGTCACATTGTACAAGGCTATTCAAAACAGCCTTGTACCATGTGACAAGCTGTGACCAATCACAGCTCACTCAGTACTTCTCAATGAGTGCAAGAATGCACACAGAGAAAGAGAAATGATTGCTTTTACATCCTATATGGGTGTAAAAGCAATCAGTGTAAAAAAAAAAAAAAAAAAATTTTCATCACCCCCCACAAGTAGTACAGTGTCACCATGGTGACACTGTACTGCTAGGGTGACAGTATGTAAAAAAAAAAAAATATATATAAAAAAATAAAATAAAAATGTAAAACAAAATTTTAAAAAATTATAATTTTTGGTTATAAACTAATTTGGATTTTTTTTTTTTTTTTACTAAAAAGATAAACGGAATAAATTTTGGCTAAGATTTATGATGAAATATTTATTTGTAAAATGTTATAAAAAAAAAACAAAAACCTTTTTTTCAAAGTTTTGGGACTTTTCCATTTAGCAGGCAAAAAAAATAAAAATTCCAGCGGTGAATAAATACCACCAAAATAAAGCTTTATCTGTCTCAAAAAAATGGTAAAACATTAATTTGGGTACAGTGTTGCATGACCGCGCAATTGTCATTTAAAGTGTGATAGCGCTGAAAGCTGAAAATTGCCCTGAACAGGAAGGGGGTAAAAGTGTCCGGTCTGGAAGTGGTTAAAGTGTTACTTAAACCCCAGTTTCAAAACACAGCTCAGATTTGGAAAGAGTAATAACAGGAAATAAATACAAAAACATAATACATTCACTTTTAAAAATTGACAAAACCAGAGGAAAAATAAATTCTGTTGTACATACTTCTTCATCTTTCCAATCATTGAAGTCAATTTTAAACACTGGCAGAGAGAAGTGCTGTGTCAGTCCTCGCTTATAATAAACCGTCTGGGACTGCATGGCTGTAGTGCGGGGAGTGTACCTGTAGTGGAAGCCAGAGTCTTCATGTTATCACCACAATCTGAAACCCTGGGGTTGATTTACTAAAACTGGAGAGTGCAAAATCCGATGCAGCTCCTGACTACCGTTTCTTCAATTAAGCTTTGACAAAATACCCGGAAGCCGATCGGTGTCTATGCAGAGCTGCACCAGATTTTGCACTCTCCAGTTTTAGTGAATCTCCCCCACTATATATTATAAATAATGTACACACACTTACTTTAATATTAATAAAAATTATAGTTTTATAAACATATATTTTTTTGCGCTTCAGCCGTGGATGTGTTGTGAAGCAAGGGACTTACACAGCCATCCCTCCAGCAAACTCTTCACTGGCCTGACAGTAAACTGTAATTGCAACCCGTGCATCAGCATCGAAGGTGAACTCCAAACCGTATAAGACTTTTGGCTTCCCACCGTCCTCCAGGGGGCTGTCCGCACCTTCTTTGTACCTGAAAGTACACAGGAAGACAAAACAGAACTAGTGTATAGGAAGGCAGTAGAGTACAGAGGATCGGGATAAGAGGTCTCTTCTAGTCTTTACCTGACGAGTCGCAGAGAATCCTTGCGGATGTTCACCAGACTGCGTAGAGTCTTCACCGGTTCATGAGGGGCCGGGGTCAGGTATGGGAACTACAATGATAAGATGATGCCAATTACTGTGTGAAGGAAACAAGTCACATCATTTTAGGATAAAAACTATGTAGTGCAGATCCTGTACACCATCAATGTCCTCAGCGCCAAAACCAGAGTACAGGCAGAAATCAGGAGGGCAACGAATTGCTTTATTTAATCCGGCAAAACTCTTTAAAGCAGACCTAAGCTCATATTAACACAAAGATACAATAAACGTCATGCAAAGACAAAGAACAGAATAGCTGAGATATTTACCTATCTACAGGGAAATGTGTCTTTGAACTCCTTCCAGTGATGGTCACATGGTCAGAAGCATGGATGTTTGGTCCTGTGATTTGTTAGGGGAGGAGTGGAATTCATTTGACCCATTCTCCCATTCAGCGAATCTTATGACCAAAGAGGTCATATGACAGCACTACTGGGAGACTGAAGCAGCATTTCACCTCCCCCCCCAAAGGGTGATCTTTCCCTTTCATTCTGTACAAGAGCAAAAACTATTAATGACCATCTTGAGCCAAATTTTTTTTTCCTACTTTTGGATAGAACCTCTGCTAGGTTTTATTACTGAACCACATCACTAAAGAGAGCACCATATGAAGGCCTAAGAGTTCAAATGTTTTAATATTGGTAATCGTTCACAACATAGAACATCCTAGCATTTCTGAAGTGGTTCTAAAGAGCAGAAGGATTTTGTTTTTTTTTTTTTTTTTTTTTTACTTTGAATGCATTGTATGCATGAAGGCAAAAACAAAAAAAAAAAAAAAAAAAAAAAAAAAACCTGCAAGCAGCTCCCCTCCAGCTTTCCCCCCAAATACTTACCTGAGCCTGATTTCGATCCAGCGACATGCACAAGAGCAGTGTCTCCCCTGCTCTCTTTCCTCTTTGGCTCAGACAGAGCAGTGGGAGCCACAGGCACTCAGCAGGGTGGGAGGAACCAGGAAGAAGAGGATCAGGGCTGCTCTGTGCAAAACCATTGCACAGAGCAGGCAAGTATGACCTTTATTTAAAAAAAAAAAAAAATTATGCCTTTACAATCAGTTTAAATATTTCCTCCTTGTAGAAGGGCTTGTGCAAAAAATGGAGGTATGGTTGGGAAGGGTTTGGCATAGAAAACATGGAGATATGAATTTGACGTCCTAAATCTAGAGCTACTTTAAACAATATTCTGAATCTTAATTCTACAGGGGGTGGTAGAGGCTGAGCAACAGGACCTGTACACCTCTTTACAGTGGCTACATGGTTAGCACTTCCGCCTGGCAGTAATAGGGTCTTTGGTTCGAATCCCAATCACGGCATCACCTGCCTGGAGTTTGCATGGTCTCCCTGTGCCTGCGTGGGTTTCCTCCCACACTCCAAAGACATGCTGGTAGGCAAATTGAATCCTTTCTAAGTTGCCCCTAGTATGTGTATGTATGAATGTGAGTTAGGGACCTTAGATTGTACACCCCTTGAGGGTTAGGGACTGATGTGAATGTACAATATATATGTAAAGCGCTGCGTACATTGATGGTACCTGAAATAAATACTTGCTCCAGGAAGTGCTATTCCGAGGGGGGGGTTAGGGTTCACAGGCATCCAAGGAAGACAGTCCTGCTAGGGTGTTCTATGTCTGCCCTGTGGTTTCTTCCCAGATGGACAGGACAAAAACACCCCCAAATGACACTGGAAGATACCCAAGCCCACCCCAGTTGACTCTATGAGCCCCCACCATTCTCACAATATTACTTGGAGCTTATAATCTATTAAATAGTACACCTGCTCACAAGGATCAGGGCCCTTCTAACCCTCTTGTATTGTTGCTGTATTGTCACCCGTTATATTGTAAAGTGCTGAGCAAACTGTTGGTGCCATAAATCCTGTATAATAATAATACCTTCTCATAGACATACCTGGACAGGCCGGTTCCCTAAAAAGTTGAGGTCGCTGTTCTCTCCAAACAGGTACCCCTCAGGGTGAGGGGTCTCAAACTTCTCTCCACCCATGAAGAAGTGACTGGCAAAGTAATTTCCTACAAAAGAACAAAAACACAGTGGGGGTTATTTAACTAAAAAAAACATAGAGTGCAAAATCTGGTGCATAGTAACCAATCAGCTTCCAGGTTTTATTGCCAAAGCTTAATTGAATAAACTGAAGTCAGAAGCTGATTGGATACCATGCACAGCTGCATCAGATTCAGTACTCCAGATTTAGTAAATCAACCTGAAAAAGGTTCGCATGTACACGATACTATTTACAAACTACACAAAGGGCCGGTCTCTAGCTTGGGGCAGGTAAGTGGAGCTAAATGGCACCAACCTTTGTAACCATCATCCACCAACTGGTACCTGATGGCAACAAGTAACCCCTTATAACTGACTGGTACCAAATTCCTTTATGTTTGTATTTGTTGCGTGGCCATGGAAGTCTCTGCTAGTTCAACCTATTAGGAGTTCACCTGAGATCAGTAGGTCTCCTACCTTATCTGGTCCTCATTTTCCCGGGTGAGGGGCCCGTAGTCCTCAGCATTCATCCAATACCCACTACTTTTGACTGTTTAATCTTCTTCCATATCTTTCTAATAGAGATGGTTAACACAGTGCTCTTCTCTACCAATACAACTTCTTACTGGCTCTGTACCATCAGAAAATGTACAATAAAAAAAAACATGTTTTTTTTTTTTTTTTTTTTAACTACTTGACCACTGAGCCAATTCTGACATTCCTCTCCTACACATAAAAGCAATTTTTTTGCTAGAAAATCACTCGGAACCCCAGGGATGTTGGATTCCTATCGCCCGACGCTCGGGACATGTAGTGACGGGCAGGTAGTTTTTTTTTTTCTACCTTTAGCCCTGCTGTGGGCATGCAGCAGGCTCACCTGTCAGGTGGAAGCATTGCCGCCCAATTGCTTCCACACAGTGCCAGCCTCACCACCCACCCCCCGTGAGGTCTCCCAGACTCTGCTTGAACATCTGCAGGGCCCGGCTCACCATCCACTCCCCTTCTTGTCACTTCAGGGTCCCCGTTGAGAGACTGCAATGCAATCCTCAGGAAAGAACGTAATGTGGTGCAATGTGCACTGCATTACATTCAGTGGAGCACAGGGGAGACATGCAGGATCTTTAGACCCTGGATGTCTCAAAGAGAACCTGTCTCCAAAAAAATCATCACATAGGGGACTTTTTCTATCTTAATAAGCTTTCAAGTTTACTACACTATGGGAGTCCTCCTTTTCTAACTTCTTTATGGGGACCGGTCAAGAGGGGTTTGGCTGACTACCTTCGGGAGGGGATACCACTACTATTGTTACAGTTCCTGGATTGGTGCCAAGGGTACAGATGTGATTAGGGTTGCTCCGCCGAGCGCTACTACTTTGAAGTGTCTTGACCCCTGGGGGGGGGTCGCAGCATGGAGGTGAGCGTGCATGCTAGCCGGTGGCGGATTCATGTGTTGGACTTTTCACTGGACGTGGTCATCGATTGAATGAACAGAGTTTTTTCGGACCACACACACACACACACACACACACACACACACACACACACACACACACACACACACACACACACACACACACACACACACACACACATCCTTCCTTTCACCTTTTCTCAGGAACATTAGATTTTTATGTCATGTGACTTAAGACGTTTAGTACCTTGTTATTCATTTATTTATTCACTTCATTGATCAGTTTTTTTGGGTGCGTTCACTTTAATATTCACTGCATCGTGCTTCTTCCATTTATGTTTGTGCATTTGTTTTCCTGATTACTCATGCAAATGCTTAGTATAGGTATTGGTGCAACCCTATAAGCTGCAATAAAATCAAGGTTTGCTTTTGGGTTTAAAACCAATTAAAAAAAAAAAAAACAAAACTAGCCTTCACAACCACTTCAACAAAGCAACTCCTGGGATTTACCACCAAGTGTGAGGGAGGAGGGAAGACCAGCAATGAGGCAGAAGGACTGGGAGTACTAATTTTGCCACATGTCCTTCATTGAAGTTTTTTGGGTGTGTAGTCGTCCATCCAGTGTCCACAACTAGTCAAAGTGTACCAACTGTAACCAAAGGAAAAGAGATGAGCGCGGAGTCCTCACCGGATTTGGGTGGATAGCGGTAAGCAGAGTTCGCCTGGATATCGATGTCTTCCACGCCGGCGATTCTTCGGCCCCACACCGCCCCCATTGTCTGAGGGAGGAAACAACAAGCAATAAATGATACATCCAACTGTATACACAGCACAAATGTGAGTCACATGACTGCTACTTAAAGCTCAGCTCCATAATTTTTTTTTTTTTTTTTTTTTAAGTTTTACATTGGGCAGGAAAGAATCAGAGCCTCTGTCAGCTTTTTATTGTCTCATTTCTTCACAGGACTGAAGTGCTGGAAAATCGCTCCAAAAAACACATTATATCACAGTGAGGGACGGGTAAAACTTCTCTGGGTGCTTTTAGTGCTGCCCGATGACAACCATTCCTTGCAATTCTTGTACAGGTGTCACAGGGATAGGAAGTCATGGACAATCTTCTAAAACGGGGGTCACAGGCAGAAATAAATAAGCAGTATGTTTTAATTCTTCACTACACTATTCAAAAATAAAATAACTGGAAGAGGGATGAGCTGATGGAAGAATCAAAAGTTCAGTTTTAGGTAGAGGTGGAATAAGCCTCCATAAAAAAAAAAAAAAAAAAAAAAGGGGGGGGGGGGGCTTTATGGGGGCCGGACTGTGGCCAATGGGAGTAGAAAATGCCCCAGCATCAGTGCCCCATCATTGGTTCTAATTGGGGGAATAGTATCAATGAAAAGAATAGTGTCCCATTGATGGTGTCAGTAGGATGAATGGTGCTCCATCATTGGTGTCAGTTGGTGGAATAGTACCCAAGGGCCAGATATAGGCAAGCAAAGGGCCAGATCACAGAGATTTTCCTGAACACAGAATTCTCAGCACATGCAGGATTTCTTCACTACAAATTCCCATACAAGTCCAGGGATGAGTAGTAGAGAGGAATTCTTCTATCAGACAGTAAGGGGGGTGATAAAGTCTGATCATGATCATCGTTCAGGAACATCCCCAGGGACAAATCATCCCAATCAGAGAATCTGAGACACCACCGCCACCTACGACATCACACCCGGCCTTAGAGCTGAACCATCCCCTCCTCATCTCAGGATAACAAAATATAGGTACAGTGTAGGCTGGTCCCCAGGATACATTATATGAGGATCAAGAAATAGATTGTTACATTGTATCACATAGTATCCCAGCTCCCCTCCCCCCTGAGGAAGTCTACACACACTCTATAGATATAAAAACATAGACAGTACAGATGTGCATTGGCCTCACATTCACTAGATGAGGATCAAGAACTAGATTGTTACATTGTATCACATAGTATCCCAGTTCTCCTCCCCCCTCAGGAAGTCAACATTCTCGCTCTCATAATATATATATAAGCACAGACAGGACAGGAGTACATGGCCTCACTGAGGATGAGGAAATAGATTTGATACATTGTATCACATAACAGGGCAGCTCCCCTCCCCCCTCAGGAAGTCCACACACACACTCTATAGATATAAAAAACTAACAGTACAGATCTACATTGGCTTCACATTCACTAGATGAGGATCAAGAACCAGACATAGTATTACATTGTATCACATAGTATCCCAGCTCCCCCCGCCCCCTCAGGAAGTCCACACACACACCATATAGCTATAAAACACAGACAGTACAGATGTACATTGGCTTCACATTCACTAGATGATCAGGAAATAGATTGTTACATTGTATAACAGTATTACATTGTATTCCAGCCCCCTTCAGGAAGTCAATATATTTTTTCTCCCTCTCTCATTTTATATATATATATATATATACATACACACATACATATACACACACATACACTCTGGCCTCACTGAGGATGAGGAAAGAGATTTTGTTACATTGTATCACATAGTAGTACATTGTATCCCAGCCCCCTTCAGGAAGTCAATATATTTTTTTCTCCCCCTACACATATATATATATATATATATATATATATATACACACACACACATACACTCTGGCCTCACTGAGGATGAGGAAAGAAATTTGTTACATTGTATCACATAGTAGTACATAGCAGGCCAGCTCCCCTCCCCCTCAGGAAGTCCACACCCACTCTGTAGATATAAACACTGACAGTACAGATGTACATTGGCTTCACATTCACTAGATGAGGATCAGGAAATAGATTGTTACATTGTATCATAGTATCCCAGCTCCCCTCCCCCTCAGGACGTCCACACACACTCTATAGATATAAACAGAGCACAGACAGGAGTACACCGGCCTCACTGAGGAATTAGATTGTTACATTGTATCACAGTCAGTCCCCTCAGGAAGTCCACATACAGGACAGGAGTAGCCTGGCCTCACTGAGGAATTAGATTGTTACATTGTATCCCAGCTCCCCTCCCCCAACAGGGAGCACACATACACCCACATAAAGGTATACACCCTTCCCCCATCCCTACACACACGGAGCACAGACAGTCCACACTGCGGGAAGAATCCACCTACAGCTCCTTGTTGTCTCCCTCCGGCCTCCTTCTTCCCCTCCGCTCCCGGGAATCCTCCACTCCGCCGCACTGCCTGCCGGGAGATGTAGTCCTCGCCTCCCCCTCCCCCAACACTCTGCTACAGGGCGGGAACTACAATCCCGGCATCCCCCGCGCCAGGATCCCAGCTGACTGGCCTCGGTATAGAAAACAATGGAGGGACTGTACCAACTGACCGGAGAGACGGGGGGGTGGGAGAGGGGCAGGTGCGGAATGAAGTGATCCGTCCTACAGCTCTGGGTTAACCCTTGCTGGGCAGGTTCACGGAATGTAAACAAATTCTACAATCTGCTGATGGCAGTAATAATAATAATAATAATATTAATAATAAAACAATCTAATGACTGTTACTCTCCCACTAGTAGAAAACAATACAACTACTAATAATATAATACCAAAACAAAATAATTACTATTACTAAGAATAATATTAACAATAAAAACCAAACATCTTATAATAATATTAAACCGATACTAAACTACTTACTACTAATAATAAAAACTACAATAAAAAGAAACTAGGACTAAAATAATAATACAAATTGTATTAAAAAGGGAATAGAACTAAAAATAATAAAACAATGTGACTACTACAAGTAAAAATATACTATTACTACTACCACTAATAATAATAATACCTACAAATACTACTAGTTAAAAAATATAAACAAAAAATGACTAATTATACTAAAATAATACAACTAAAATAATTAAAACCTTGGCAGACTGATGACACCAGAAATCTTAAACGACATAGTCGTGCGCTGGAGTGATTGTGGAGTAAAACCAAATCTCAACAAGCATTCACCCTATATAAATCTGCTCTCTTAACATACAATTCCTCCCTTCATGCTGCCAAACAAGCCGACTTTGTCACTCTTATTAATACCTTGTCATCCAGTCCTCGTCGTCTCTTCTCTACTTTTAACTCTCTACTTTCTCCACCTCCACCCAGTACCTCACTCACTGCTCACGAGATTGCAAATCATTTCAAAAACAAGACTGACACAATTTGTAGGGGCATCGCCATTGCACAGACATCGATCCCACTTAGCATACCTTATACTAAACCTCCCTCAACACTTTCTTCTTCTGACCTTGCTACTATTGAAGAGGTCACTAGGGTTTTCTCAGAAGCCCGTCTGTCAGGAATGGACTTGCCAGTGGTGGTGGGACTCACCTGCCTTGTGGGCTGCAGTTCCAGGGCTGGCCAGCGGGTGCTCTCAGCAACCAGAGGCTCACTCCTGCAATGAGCCATCACCTGAGGCTGATTGCAGCAGGTGTATTTAAGGAATGGCCAGGCCTGTGATCAGGGCCTTGGTGTAATGTTTCCCATGAGCCCCTGTACCTGCATCCTGTCTGCTTCCTGCTTGATTCCTGATTCTGCTTGATCCTGACTCTGAGTGAACTCCGCCTGTCCTGACCTCGGCTATTCCTGACCACTCTTCCGCTCTCTCCTGGTACCCTGTTTGCCCGTTTGCTACCGACCCGGCCTGCCCGACTACGTTGATTTGTATATATGGTTATCTGTTGGAGTTTGGGTTGTTTGCACTGTGTTATGTTTACCTTGCACTGCGTTTGTGTTGTTTACTCTTAATAAATTGTCTTATTTACACTATACCTGAAGCCTGCGTTTCCCTGTGTCAGTCCACACATTTCTGGTCATACCCAGAGCCCTAACACCGTCTCACTACCTGCCCCCTGAATCCTGTCCCCTCACAACTACTACGGTCACCCTCTTCTTCCATCCTATGCTCCCTCACTCACATCTTCAATCTTTCCCTCTTTACTGGTGCCTTCCCCTCCCCTCTAAAGCATGAGCACATCACTCCCATACTTAACAAACCCTCCCTGGACCCCACCAACCTGAACAACTTAAGATCCATCTCCTTGCTGCCATTTACCTCTAAACTCCTAGAACGCTTATTCTACAATCGCCTGAACTCCCACCTCACTGACAACAACCTTCTTGACCCTTTACAGTCTGGCTTTCGCTCTCTACACTCCACTGAAACTGCCCTACTAAAACTCACTAATGATCTATTAACTGCTAAAACCAATGGCCAATACTCCGTACTCATCCCAACCAATGGCCACTACTCCGTACTCATCCCAACCAATGGCCACTACTCCGTACTCATCCCAACCAATGGCCACTACTCCCGTACTCATCCCAACCAATGGCCACTACTCCGTACTCATCCCAACCAATGGCCACTACTCCGTACTCATCCCAACCAATGGCCACTACTCCGTACTCATCCCAACCAATGGCCACTACTCCGTACTCATCCCAACCAATGGCCACTACTCCGTACTCATCCCAACCAATGGCCACTACTCCGTACTCATCCCAACCAATGGCCACTACTCCGTACTCATCCCAACCAATGGCCACTACTCCGTATTCATCCCAACCAATGGCCACTACTCCGTACTCATCCCAACCAATGGCCACTACTCCGTACTCATCCCAACCAATGGCCACTACTCCGTACTCATCCCAACCAATGGCCACTACTCCGTACTCATCCCAACCAATGGCCACTACTCCGTATTCATCCCAACCAATGGCCA